GCTTCTGGAGGCCTCCATATTGAATATAGAATATTTACTTTTATGTTAAAAATGTAAAACTGCAAAAGTTCCTTTCTTTTGTAGTTCTTGTAAGAACTTCTGTGAAGTATTATTAGTAAATGGTAATACTATTACTCCAAGAAGAAAATATAACTTTGTAAGTATAACTAAAGTGGTGCAATAAATAAGTAGTTTGTTATTGAATTTTCCCCAATTTAACATTTCTTCTTTCGTTTGGGAGTGAAAACAAAAAAAAGCAAAAAAAAAATTTTATGTAATGGGATATTTTATTAGTAAATACAAAACCACAGTACATTACAGTAATGAACATTTGCAAGTAAACAATTAACAAAATATAACGATTGAAAAACTAACTAGATACAAACAATGTATGTTTATTTATACTTATTGCACAGAAAATACAGTACGATTAGTTTAAAATTACTTGACAAGTATAATAATAATTTTTTTCTAATTGTAAGAAATAATTAAAACAGATAAGTACGCAAATACACTATGGAACATATGTAATAGCAATAAATTGTCGCGTTTCTTTTTCATTATTATTATCATATAAAAGTTTTAACATGGACTGCCGAACTTACTTTACTTGGATCTATGCGTCATATTTTAATACGTACACAAAATAGTCTACATTAATTTTGTATAAAATTAGTTAGTAGAAGGCGTTTTAATCTGAAAGCCTTATGAGTCATTAAGATTACGAAGGTCACTTAAATTTTATTTGTAGCTGTAGAAATTTTTTAAAACACCAACATCTTATTTAAACCACAGACAAAAAGGAATTTTCTTAACAGGGCGGAAATGTCGGAATTATTATTGGCATGTGACTATTCAAATTTGGATTTGAATGTAGAAAGGTGTGATCTAAAAAAGAAACACCTAATTTATGTACGGGGGTGTTTGAGTTATTAATATCAGGTACAGCAGTGATGTAAGAATTAGTAACGTAACCATGGGAGATATCTTGAGTACCAGATACAACCAGGGATTCACTGGGGGGATTAGGATTGATTTCTTTAGTAGGAGCTGTCTGCTGATTTTTGTTGTTGTTGAGTTTAGTAATATGCACTGAACTTGAATGCAAGACAACTTGGTATCTATGTCTAAATCGTAAATTACAATGTTCACATTGAAATTTATTTTTGCTATGTCTCCAAAATTGATGTAAAATCAATTTCGACTTCGTACGGAATTGACTCAGTTTTGCAGTTTTGCACAGTGTACATGAGAATCTTCTTCTTTGGAGAAACTGCATCATATATTTCTCGCACAATTGTCTTTTAAAGCTGCTTGCGTTTTGTGTGTCGTCTTTATTGTCCATGGTTGGTGAAACTACTTTTTTCGGTTTCGTTTGCTTCCTTGATCTCTTGTGATTCTCTTTTTCCTGAACGGACTCGTTTGTAGAATGCTGGAAATGAAGCATACTGTGCGTAGACATGTGGAACATTACCGAAAACTGACTATAAAACGTTTCAGTGCATATCTGACATTGATACTTCAATTTCGGATTGACATTCTCTTTCGTTTCTTCTGGTTGTTTCGCGGGAGATGTTGGTATGTGGCATTTGATAAATTTGTGAGTTTCGAGCGATGCATCGTCTTCAAACTCGCAGCCACAACTTTTACACACGAAAAGAGGAACTTCAACTTCTTCTTTTTCTACCTCTTTTGTGGTTTTTAGATGACCTGCAACATCTCCCGCTTCAGGAAAATCCGAATTGATTCTATGTGTAATACTGGTTCGACTTGACTCCTCTGGACCCTTTGAATCACTTTCGGGTTCCGAACTGTCGCTAGCTTCCATGTAATTAAACAATCTAGCTGCTCCATGCTGTTTTGGGGTATGTTGTTTCCATGACTTGCTCGAGTCTGGCTGAAGTAGTCGAGCACTATGTTGCATTAAAGCTGCAGCACTATTTACGTCGTACGATTTGTTAATATTTTGGTTATTACTACAATAAAAAGAAAATCAAATTTAAATATTTCCTCTTAAAGAAACATTTGATACAAAATAGAAAATTAAACAGCCAGAAAACTAGAGAATGTTCTCGAATCATGCGCTAGTAAAAAATTAAGAAGTTTGGTGGAAAGAAAGAAAAGATAAAATACGTTTACCAGTTAATCTAAGGACTTTACTTGCCTTAGAGATGCTATGCAAGTATTAGAAGCACTACCACCTGTGTTTGTGTTACTGGAGTTGTTTGCCGAGTACGAAAAAGAACGTACGGAATGATTAGAACGATTGTTTCTCTGATCTAATGGGCTGCAATACAAAAAAAAAATTAAACGTTAGCTTAATTACAACCCTTGCAAGAATGTCTTTTATAATACGTACTGATGATCTTGTTGATGAATAGTAAGTTGAGCAGGATCGTCGGCAAGAAAATTACATTTTCCACAAGCTCGTTTATTGTGGACTTTAAGTACATGAGTGGCAAGTCTTTCCGACCTAGCTGCTTTGTAATCGCAAAGTCCACAGACAAAAGGTTTCAGATGAGTATTCATGTGTCTCTTTAAACACCAATTGTCGACGCCCGTCCAAGAACAATAACAACAACTAAAACGCTTGTCTCCCTTTTTCTTACCGATATTTTTTCCCAAATTGCAGGTCTTCATATTTGCCGAACATTTGGAATCTATACTTCCAAACTGTTTTCCACTTATCGTTTTAGCAATGTTGCAAAGTCCATTGGGAATTGTCAAAGAACTACCAAGTGATACCACATCACTAGATGTTGGGTCGGAGGAATGAGATGACGATACTTCATTTGAATTGTACCGGTTGTAAAACGACATTCCTGACGCATTTTTCGGAGGATGTCGTCGTATTCTATTCAGATCGTACGGATGTTCTCTGTGCATGCGAAGAAAATGCTTTTTGACATGGTCAGCTCTGTTGAACTGCTTTTGACAAACGTAACATTGAAACGGTTTTTCTTCGCGATGGATGTTTTCGTGCCTTGTAAACAAATCTCTTCTATCAGTTGCATAAGGACAGAAAGAACAGCTATACCTTTTGTTTGTCGTCGATATATTAGCGGAATCATTGTTTATTGTATTTTGGGAATTAGTTGTCGATTGAGTCCGATTTGTTGTCATGGAACTGCTCGTGGAGGGAATGCTGCTTGATGAAGAATGATAGTCGTCAGGTCCATGGATAGAAGAATTCTTCGCTCCACCAACATCAAGCCTAGATTTTAGTCTTTGAAGATATCTAGAAATTTCGTGTAGCACTGGGTTGTTCTTTAATAGAACATCTGTAGTTTCCTCAGTGCTTATATTATGCTGTCTAGTTAAATGGAGTCGTACGCATCTAGCCCAAGCGCTTTCATAAGGGCATTGCGGACACCTAAACGTCCTCAAATTTGAATGTGTACCCAGCCAATGTTCTGCAACCCTTGGGAGATATCCAACACAATCACACTCAACGCATCGAAAGAGTTTCTGTGCTGGATTGTAACTCGCAATTTTTGACCGGGTCCATTGAAGATCGTCGTCGCTAATTATCCATTTCTCTTCAAAGTTTTGGCTCGGTTTGTGTTGTTGAAATGTTGTATTGAAAATGCCGTTTGATGGAAATCCATTCTGCATCAAGGCTGCCAGCCCAAAAGCAGTTAAGTGATCGTCAGATTTAAGCAAGGGACCACTTGTTTCGTAGTCCACGGGGGTAAGACAGCGGTCTTGAGGAGGTGCAAGCCTGTCGTTTGATGTTATATCCGAAAGACCATCTTCTCCATATAGCTTCCTGGTTATCTCTTTAAACATATCCTCGTAGCAATCGACGGTATTTCCCGTCACAGGCATTGCCACTTCCATGCTACACTGAAGCTTTCACCTTCTTTGATTAAACTTGCTACAAATTAAAAAGCTTTAATTACAATTGAACTCTGTTTGAATAATATACTGAATGAATGAAATTTGACTAACAGATATATCAACTTTTAAACTTATGCAACATAATTAAGCAGCTGGTTTTCTGATTGATGAAAAGAGAAATGATTTTAGCTGAAACAGAAGCATTTTGTGAAATGTTCAGCGCAAAAAGAAAGACAACCAACGTTTGTAAACGTATTCATTATTTATTTCTCTTGTTTGTAATGTGTGCATAAAGACCAAGATTATTTATCTGAAATGTCAATTTCTTAAAAAAATAAATTCCTTCTGATTTATGGAACATAAAATTTGACCGTTCCTATGTAAAACAAATTCCTGCAATACTTTTGATTCATAAATATATTTCGACATCTTTCGGAATTCGTAGCAAACTAGACTTGTGGGATTCAATCAATTAGATATAAAAAAAAAGACGTGCGTGAAAAAAGTGAAAATTAGTTTTGCGTAGTTTAGTAAAGCGTAAGTTTGGACGACCGTGTTTTACAGTCTGCTTTTATTGCATTATTCACACGTATGTCAAGTAGATAAAACATGCATAAACTTACCACATTATTAATAAACTGTTATTAATTAATTCTAGTTTGACACGAAAATCCTTTTTTAGCAATAATCACAGCATTATCAACTGATGACACCTACACCAACAAAGTGTATGAGATATCTGACCCACCCATCGATGCAGCACCCGCTGCCCGGGGCACTATTCTCCTTTCAACCCCCTCCACAACCCCTTACGAGGGTTGAAACATAAGCGTTCGTATTTTCCGAAGAAACAAAATTTTAATTGCTTTTTCTGATTTTTTTTCAATACCACAATCAAAATTTTCCTCATCTACATCTCCTGACAACTAAATTTTCTTCAACACTAAAAAAAAAAATGCATTCCATATTTCATTAAAGGACATGCTAAGGCCTTTAATGAAACAACGTGTTACTGTATGTATTACTTATTAACCAATAAGTATGGTCATCGTTTAGAAATATTTTATCGTTAGCAAAGTCCTGATTCATTTATTTTTATTTGTCAAAAATTCTAATAAAATGTAAAACAATGTAGGTATACTTAACAATTCAGCTACCCTTTATGTATAAATATTTCAAAGAATTTAAAGTGTTGCAATTCATTAAGTGGTCTGATGTTTTGAAATTGAATTTTATATTATGCAAATATAACTAGCACGAATTTTCGTGGAATGTATATGCCCCTTTACTATTCATTGTATGTTTTTTTTTATATATAGATGTAGTTTACTGGTCAGGTTTAAATATTAAGTAGGAGCAGTTTTTAAATCGATATGGTCAGTATTATTTGGTAGTGACTATCTAAATCTGAAGGGTCAGAGATTAAATAAAGATGGCCAGCATTTAAAATATAAACAGTTAGGTTAGGTTATGAAGTAAGTAATTAACAACTGTTGCCTTTTTGAATGCATTACCGATTAATTACCTAATGGACTACAGATATATTGCAAAGTAGCCGTTTTCGTATTAAAATGTCCGTATTTTCTCATTGCGATTTTATCGTCTTTAAACGAGCGCGTGCAGGTACGAAATCAAAAGAGTAAACTTATGTGTTGCGCCTCTGATTCTTAGGATAAAAAGGTTCTATGAGTAACTACGTTTGGTGTGGGGTATATGAGAGGGTGGCGTGGGTGTAGGGAGGTAAACAGGGGTTGCCAAGCAACCAGAAACGTGAGGGTGAGTCTACTGATGTGTCGCAACTCGGTTGCATTCTTACTATAATTACCAACGTTTGTAGTAGGTATCAAAATAGAAGTAAACAAGTAAAAGGATGTAAAATTTATTTTTAGGTTGCCCAGTAAAAAGTGCAACGGCTTTGCACCCTTGACAAAAGGGTGAATTTTAGCTTTCGCCACGCATCATTCCGTAATCTAGCGTATGTGGGTGGAAATTGAAAATAAACTTGTTAACATTATATTCCCATGGCCAAAGAGCATAGCGAAACGTTATTATTATTTATAATTCTGAAATGAAATTCTAATTAAAGCTAATTCCGAGTGAAGTATAATCCTTGTTTTTTTTTGAAAGAAATAAAATGAAGAACTGTACCATTAAGTACACCCCCACTAAATAAGTATATACGTACCTAATTTATTTTGATTTTGTAAAAAGGAAATACAAAAAAATGCTTTAACATGTACATAACTAATGAAATGCTATTTATTCGTATTGAAATCTGAAAACTAAAACACTCTATGTATTAAGTTAGATGTTAACATCAAATAAATTATAATAAATTTAAAAAGTTACAATTTTTTAATACAGACGAATATATAAAGTAAAAGGCAGTTCATTATGCATCATAATCATGACTTTTAATAAAGCTTTTTCGGAATGGAAAATAAGTTACGAAATTATATTCCTATTTTTGTTAAATTTTCAACTTTAATGTACATGCGATATTTAATCACGAAGTATGAGTGGATTTTTGACTTCGTTTAAAAAAAAAAAAAAATTAATTGGAGTGCATTTTGCCAGTGAGTGGTGCTTAATTTGAAGATATCAAAATATAAGAAGAGCGCAAGTCAAAGATTAATCAATCGATTCTTTAAACAATGGTGTACATTAAACCTGTACGTCCGCATACGGAATATAAAAAGGATATATAACGTATCGGAATTGCTGAATAATAATCTATTAGTGAAGTATCTTAACGTCTTGCATTGCATTTTTCGTTTCTGGGGAAGGGCAAATGGAATCGAGATTGCGCATTCATTTTTGCATATTATATCTCGCAAATGAAATGAAGTTTAATTTACTTTTCAAACGCGTAGGGGTTCGTAATTTGTCCTCTCAAATAATTCAAAATGACCTTAGACATTTATAATACAACATATACAATGGATAAATGTGTAAAATAATTATAATAAACTAAAATCGCTGTACACGAAGTAATTTAAAGTGAAATTGAATTTCATAACGAAGGCGGAAAATTTTCAGTTGTTTGCGAAAACGCACAAAAAGGCATTTCATCTAACTTTGAGTGGGTAAATGTTAAACAAGTTTCTCTGTAAACTAATTTACAACAAAACACATGATGCCCTTGAAAAGTGTGCTCTCAACATTTTCAAAAAAGAAAGATACCAAAAAAAAAATACCGTTGTAGATGAAGTTTAATCTTATACTGACGAGCAAAATATAATTAAATATCTAGTGTTAAAAAGTAATAAAAGAGTTTGTAGGTCGGAAATTAGAAACAATAATTAAAAGAGTTTCTTTGTTCGCGTCAATTCAGCAGGAAAGACGCATGACAAGGCGTTACGGAAAAGCATCAGCGTCGAACTACTGGTGGATGTATAAACAGGGTGAACAATTTTCAAGTGCATCTGAAAATATAATATCGGATAACGCAGTTTGCAACATTTAGTTTATAGACATTATAGATTATTATCTCTTTTATTCTGTTAAATGACATAAGACCATAATGCTTCGACTTCCACAACCGGAGTGTTGGATTTAAGCCTACACGGAGAAAATGAAAAAAGAAAATTTACCTAAATATTAAAGCGATATTTACACTATCCCGTTGTTTCGCAAGCGAAAATAATAAAAATTACAATTTGGACTCGAATTTGTAAAAATAAAATCCCTAGGTATTTTGGTTTATATTACAAATTAAATTGTAATAATTAAGAAACTTAAAATAATTTTTAAAAAAACGTCAAAATTGAGATTATTACGAGTTACCTAATAAATTCTACTAGTTCTACAGCAAATTCAGTCATTTACAACTGAAAATTGTAACTTTTGCGTTGTCATAAAAATTTAGTTTTATCCTTGTAGGCCCGGGCCTAGGATCGCAAAATTGTAGAGACGCGTGAGCGTGAAATATTTTATCGTTTCTGCACATTTGAATCGCATTTTTCAACAGACTTTCGTTAGATATTAAAACTATTTACTTACACAGTTGCACAATGGATAGATTCCCGATCTTCGGCACCTTCCCGTAGTTTTCTTTTGTCACTGTCTTGTGTGTGCGATTATATAGTTTTCTTTTATCGCGCGTCTTAATCTTTAAATCATTTGTATCTATTTTGGAATAATTATTAATGAATTTTTGTATCATAAAGAAATGTTTTGTCATAGTTACTACAACAATGTAAAAAAGTGTCACTGTGTCTAGGCCGCACTCGAACCTAAATCCGCCACGGGCACAACGTCGACCACTTTTGCGGAAGTTCTGCAGTATTTGGTAATTTTCATATGATGTAGCTGACGATTTTACATTCCGGTTTGATTATATCTTGTATTTGTCGCACTAGGCTCTTACCTGCATAATTGGTCGATTCTGTGACCCTTTTCGCGTGGTCTTGGAGTCTCTATAAAAGCCAGTAAAATTGTAACTATGCAATTTATATATAAGCCTATGTACAATAACATCACTTAACATTTTATATTAACTTAATGTATTCTATTGTACGTATGCATATTAAAATAAATCCCACTGGATAATGGAATTTAGGATTCGCAGTTTTCTTCTTAAATATAAATCAATTTTCATGCTATCTTTATCAATTTTCACCAGGTAAAGAACAATATAATGTAGAAAGGTTTAAATACTAATGAACAGGAATCACCAAATTTTTACTTTTAATAAATTGCTGTTGTTGTTCTTATACTTTTAATGTCCGTTTTGTTGAATACGACTATCAGTCCAGTCAGTAGCAGAGTGGGAGGACCCGGCCTCTGCTTCTGGAGGCCTCCATATTGAGAGAAGTATTTTTTATTGGACTCTCAAACAAGGTTAAAATATGTTCAGTAAGTATATGAGGCAGTTTCGATTTTGGAGGTATAGACACATTATAAGTAGATACTTCATTTTCTTTGCCGGTCATTACATCGGTACTACTCATTTTTCTTTTACAAAACAAAATGTACGCTCCAAACTCAATCATAATGTTGAATATATTATGATTGTTACACGCTTCGGTATTTGTGTAAATGATGTCATCCCTTCTAGAAAGGGGATGAAGAGGTATGATAAGGATGATCTTCTGCAACACTAAAAAATTTTTGAATGCGGAGACCTCCCTTTGAAGGAGGTTGTGGTTAGGAAAAATGTTTAAACGTTGTAGGTCCGTTATAGCACATTGCGATTGACCAGAGCTTTTATATGTGTTGTGCATTCAATTTTTACGTAATCTACGCATATTGTGGAATATGACAAGATAATTCCATTCAGGGTTGTGGACTTCCATAAGCGTTGTAGATTGAGGTGTAACGTATTTCTGCAAAATCGTTGAGAGAAATTTCGACTAGAATATACGAAATGTCCTTTTTTATACATATTTTGTTATTGAAAAAGTTGTAGTACTTTTTGAAGTTCAGAATTTTCAGGTCCTCTCAAGAAACCGGAGATTCTCTCCCATACCTCCCTCTCCCGACGGCCGTGTGTTTCTGTTCACCCGGTATGAGTTTATGATTTTGTGGGTTGTATATGTGCTAGCGCGTGTGTGTGTATAGTAAGAGCGGCGTCGGTAGCGGCCATGACACCCGCACAGAGGTGCGGCGCGCGTCGTGAATTAGGGCCGCCGCCGCCGCCGCGGCGCTTGCTAGTTGCCGTTTGGTAAAAGGAGCGCCCGCGCCCAACGATTCCACCGTCTTTGCTCCTTGCTAAGAATTCGTGGAAATGGGGGCAACAGCCGAAGTTCGGGGCCCCTGCGGTAGGCGGTAAGGTAAAATAGTGCACGATGCGGGGGGCACAGCACCGGGACCGTCGTATTGAGTGCAGTGCGTAGTCGTGGTGTCCCTCAACCTTCCTCGGGGACTGCAGAAGAAGGAATCGGGAGAAACGTTCCTGCAGCAAACAGCAGCGGCACCAACAGCCATTTCTTGTATGCAACCCCGAGTCGACGGAGTGTCACCCAGAGCCATGACCAGCTCCGAGGAGATACTGGCCACGTGTGTCCGAAGTCGACTTCTTCATGGCCATTGATGAAAGGTATCTCGTTTGCTCAGATCAATACCACGCACAAACGTTATTGCTAATTCTTATTACTTGTTCATGTCCTTTATGATCTTATTACCCTATTTACACATAATCATTTAATTCGGTGTGAAGTTTGTCTCATGATATATGTATAAATGCATCGCATCGTGTCTCTTTTCACATTATTTTCACGTAATTTGCATTACGATTACGTTACACTTTTCTTCTTGATATTGCGTCTTCGTCTTTTAGCTCCAAATTGTTGGTATTCTTAACATTGATTTTCGTTAACAAGGTAACAAAGCAATAAGTTTTCATTCGACGACGTTCTACTTTTACCCCTTCGTCTTTTACATTAAGTCTGATCTACATAGATACCTACCAATTAATATTCGTTGTATTCGTTTCCTCTGTTAATTTTGACTTTTACTTTCCTTTTCTTTTCGTAAATATCAATATTGAAAAACACTATTCGTAGTTGTAGTTTTTATAGAAACAAACCTTAATTATAATATTACGAATGAAAACCATCCGAGCAATTAATATAATTAATAATTCAAGGACCATTAAATTTCGATTTTTTTAATGTCGAAAAAATATGACAAAATACCTATTTACGTATGATTTGCTACGTACGTATTAGGACTAAGGAATTAAATTGGTACATTCACAGTAAAAACTAGGTTACGATGTGCTGAATTACATTACCTGATCAATAAGTCTAAAACCACCTTCTTTTATTCAAATATTTGCTATTAAAACGCAATATTATTAAGAAAACTAAAAAGAACTTCTTCCTGGGATGTAGTTCGTAAAAAAAAAATGAAAAAAATTGAAAAATGAGTAAGTATACTCAAAAAATTTTTACAAACGTATTTCCTTCATTATTAGCTAAAATAAAGAGCATTATGTTCCTTGTAAGTACATTTCGGTTAAAAATTATTTCAGGCTGATGCCCCGAAAGCAATTCCTCTAAAATTAGAACTTTGTTTGTATTATATACCCGACGATAACCATGAGAAACAAAACTTCCGACTATTATAAATGGACTATTCTCATAAATATCAATAGCATAATAGTTGTTAGAGTGGAAAAAATGTACTTATTGTACTGATAATTATTAACCAAAATCGAAACTATCACATTAATTCAGTACTTACGTATAAAGGAAAATAATCCTCAATTACCTACCACAAGAATTTTTGAGAAGCGGCCACGTGTTTAGCCACCTTGAGTGCGTCATGATGAACGCAAAAATTATTTCGCGTTTTACTTACCGCAGTATCTTTCATTACGTATTCTTGTTCCTTGTTGTAAATTATTTTTATGAATATTGTTAGTAGAATTGGTATGTCAAGATTAATTACTATCACGGAACAGGGTGTATTAATTAAACCAATAACTTAATATCTAATGGAAGAACGATCTGACCTAAATAAAACTAAAAAGTAGAACTGGATCTATTATCCACATATCGCTTTAAAATCTGGATATTCCTTACGCATATCAAAACAAACGCATTTTATATGGTATAATAATAGTCCATGAAGATAAAAATTCTTAAAGTAAATTAAGTATATTTGTTTTGATATACTTAGTAATATTTATGGAAGTACTTATAATAATAAAAGGTTTTATTAATTATATCCTTTTAAACCAGAAAATACTTATGGACTCTCATTCATTGAATCTTCTTTTTAATTTTTTCTGGACTTAGTCATACTAGCAATTTTAATGCGGGAATAATCAAGCGAGTAATTTTAAACATAAAAATTAGGTCAGTATGTGTTTATTCTATAGTTTCGGTTTTATCGTCCAATACTGTAAGCCTAAACACCTAAATTTAACCATTTAACTACTTATTTTCAAGAATATTAACTTTCAGTAGAATTTTCATTCATAAAAATATTGTTACAGTAATAGGAAGAATATCTATGTATGTATGTATGTGTGTGTATAAAGTACGAAGGCGTAGAAGGGTCAAACATAATTTTTTTTTTGAAATTTCGACTTGAAACTCGAAATTTCAACTTATAATTCTAAATACTTATTGAATCGAAAGGTCAATAATATTATAACACTGCTTTCGTTCGTGTTATCTTTGCCTACTGTAAATACAACCAATTGAATGAAAACTTTAAGTTCAATTAGGTTACGATCATAATCTTAAGGTACTTTTTTTGTTTATATCTTTGAACCAAACCTAATCTGTTCCATTTCTATTTCCTAATTGCAGACAACAATTGTCACAACAACAAAATTATGATTCGCGCTGAATGGTCGTCGTCTAAAGGAAGTGTTAGGTCCTGCGAAATTCGAAATTTCGAGTTACAGGGAAAAATTTGAAAAAAATGTTATGTTTAGCCCTTCTAGGATATTGTAATAGAATGTTAAAAACGTTGGTGGTACACGTATCAATTTCAAATGTCTTTTATCCATATGAAAACTAGCCGTATGAAAGTCACTTTGAACGGCTATTTTATAGCTTTAATAAATAATATAACATGATGCATGTGCATGTAGTTAATTAGATGCATTATTTAAATACACCTTGCACTTGATACGCAAAATATAATTAAGTGCTGTGCGATAATAATAAACACTTAAAACCCAAAACACGTTTAAAAAACGTAATATGCGTTTCGACACCCAAGGTGTCATCCTCGGACTCCAACTGTGACTGAGGATGACGCCTTGAGCGTCGAAACGCATATTACGTTTTGTGCAATTTTGGGTTTTAAGTGTTTGATCTTAGTACTGTTTTTTTTTTCTTGTTCTCTGATCAATTATCCATCGCAAATATGTACATATAAAATGTAAGCCTTCAGTAATTTAATTTAATTGAAAAATCTATAATTTCAAGTAAAATTTTGTTCCGGTCGATATCAGTATAACAATAGTTGATTAAAAACAATGTAGTGAATAATATTTGTTAAATAACGTGCACAAGTGCAAATTTGTAATAAACAGGGTATAATCAGATTGCAACTCTGATTTAATTAGAGTTTCAAATTGAATATCTGCATGACCTAATCTAAACTGATACAGGCAATTATATATGTATATCTATAATTGGTTGTTGTTTTATCGAATATTCATCGACATTCGAGTGAACTTGACCTTTCCAAACATTAACCACGTCTCTAAATTTCAATTTTTTTGTTTAAACAAAGAGTCTAAACAAATTCTATGAAAAAAAATAATAATAATCCTTATTGGCTCGTTCAGTGCTGTTGAAATTAAAAAATTCTATATATGCTTAGGTAATTTCACTAGATGCTCCGGGCTGCGCTTGAGCATTTGAATACTATCTCATCTTTTCATATTGTGCAGTTAAATTCTATTCTGATACTCTTGGTACAAGTGTACAAGCGCTCAGCCAGAACGCTCGACAGCTAAAGACTCTACAGGTGTTACGAACAGGGAAAGTACATTTCCTTATTCGAAAATGAACGATCCAAATAAGGATGAAAAATTAATTGAAAAGGTTCGATAATTGTTCGATGTTGCTAGAAAAACTTTTCTTTTTTTTTTTTATTAGAACTTTAGCACTTTATATCAACTTTGACTGTTCATTGTTAATCGTTGTTTGATGTTTTAATTTCAACAGCAGTTATTTTTCTTTAGGAATTTCTATAAATTTGTAGTTTTTCATTCAAATTAATCGAATGCAAATATTTTAGTTTTTGATTTTTCATTGATAATCTTTGATTGAGACAATTGTTAAGAAAGCTGTGTGTATGTTTTTCTTTGTTAAATTATTGATGTTTTACTGTTCTCAATGTCAAAATTTTTCAAAATTTTTAAATCTTATCGTGATAAGTGAAGTGAAACGGAACGAATTTCTTTGCAAGAATTTGTTACCGATATAAGTCAAAATTTTAATTAATTAGGAGATAATTTTATGTTAATTAAAAAAAAAAAGTACGTTTGGTTTGGTTTGATTCTTTCCTTTCGATGTTGTATGTATCAAAGTTTCAGGACGATATTTTTGTGGTAGTTTATTGGTGTACAGGGTGTTCTCCGTTATTTTCAGATGTCCTGCAGTGTGACTGAGAGGGTCCCTGAAAGTAGACCCGGAACAGGAGGCGGGGGCTGTAGATTGAGGGGCTCATCTAGTAGCCTTTCTGGTGCCCCTGGATCTAAGGCATCAGTCACTGGGGGTGGTTCAACGGGGGTTGGTAGCGGTGGGTCTACATCAGCGGCTATAGGAGGGGGTTTGAGGCAGAAGCCTTGTTGTCTTTGTTGGTGCTGTTGTTGCAGCTGCTCATGGTAATGGATTTTCTCGATGAACTTCTATTTTAAACTTAGCCCCTTTTATTGTTAAAGCAACGATATTTCCGAACGAAACTATATAATACATACCTATATAGTTACTAAAGCGGATTCCGAAACAAAATATCGGATTTTGTACCTACATTTCGGTAGAATATTCCGGGAAAAACGAAACGGATTTATTTTTCTATCTATAAATGAATGAAACGCTTCCTCTGAACTTTTCCTATAATGGAATTAATTTTTGTTCTACTTTTCTCTCGGCTAACAATGAAAAACAGCAACCTTGAAAAAATAATCGTCATTTACACTTTTTCAAATTCCAATTCGTAATCAGAAAATAAAAAAAAAATAAAATAAACCGGAAAAATTACACAAGCATTAGAAAATATTGACATTATCAAGGAAATTGTTATCAGTTCCAAGAAAAACCGCACGGTAATAGCAAAAGTTTACGTCGAGTTGTTTTTCTAATCATTCCGAAACGTGAAGGTTTGTATTTTAGAAGTGACCCCTCTAAATTAGTTATTATCTGTTCAATAATCTATCGCTCCAAACTTTATCGGTTTGGTGGGGCAAAGATTGTAATGAGATAAGTTTAATAATAGTTGATCACATGTTTATCTAACAAGTAATATTTACTTGTTCGTGTATGTGTTTAATTTTGTTCATGATCTGTTCGGTTGAAACCGCGACATTTTGTATAATATCCCTTTGTGACGCCGTTTGTAAAAATAATGAATTGGAGTAAATACTACTTGACGGTCGTGTCAAAGCTATTCAAAATGAAAAAGAAACGGTGAGAACAACAAATGTAGCGGATGCTTTTGTTACATACGTATGCCAATTCGCCTATGTATTTACGTTAGTTTTTTTTTTTTTTTTTCAAAATTATATTGAACTTTCAGCACACATTTTGTTGTTATTTATTTTTGTTTTTTCGGACACATGTTGAATTTCTATTTTCAGTTCTACTCCAGGAAAAGGGAACGAAGAAAATGGACAAGGGAAAAACAACAGTAATGCTGATTTGCTTAATTGTAATGGGGATCCCCCGTAAGTTTGATGTTTTGTTCTAGCTGGATAATATGCATACCTAGTATCACGATTTATACAAAAGTATTTACGTAGCTACAAATTTGCAGTTAATGGGAATGAAAATAAACATTCACATAAGAATCGAGAATAATTAATTGTAACTACCGGTAATGATCTGTCGCCTTAAAGTTAACAAACGAAAAACAACTATATAGTACTACAATATTTATAAAAACAATATATTGTATCGTGTTCAAGCGGTATTTTATATTTAATTACTTATATGTTGATGATAAAATATGATATCATTCCATATCAGCCGGTTTATGATAGAGTTTAATAATTCGAAAAATATAAAACTGAAAACATGAAATAAACATGATATCATTGCCCATTGAATGTTTTAATTATTATTATTATTATTATTACATTTTTAATAAGATATATTCCATTTGCACCAATAATCGAAAACGATTCCTTTTCATGATATTCACAGGTCGTAAATTTATGTCAATTTCAGGCCTTCGCTTGAGGAAATAAGGAGTTGGGGGAGATCATTCGATAAATTAATGAAAAGCGCAGGTAAAATTGCAAATTGCCTTATTGATTCGTATTAAAAACAACTTAATCGTATTCACAATAAGCAATAGAAATATGTTTTTGTACTCTCCTATTTTCGAAATTGACTTGTCTAATAATTTTTGAAGCTGGCCGTAAAGTGTTCCGGGATTTTCTCCGCTGTGAATATTCAGAAGAAAATATACTATTTTGGCAAGCATGTGAAGATCTAAAAAAAGAAAACAATCCCGAAGTTATCGAAGAAAAAGCCCGTATTATTTATGAAGACTACATTTCAATATTGTCTCCGAAAGAGGTAAACAATTTCTATCCTTTATTGTACCTATTGAAACGATGAGCAAAATTAAACATTTTTTTTTGTACGTCCAAAAACGGCGTTCAGTTTCCATAAGCAGTAATTATCGTGTACATTCGAACTTCTGTAACTCGAACCTCCACAACTTCAATCTCGAAATCTTGTTATTCTCTTGACATACATTTATTCCAAACTGATTCTCTCTAATTCGAAAGTTTCTCTAACTCGAAATTCAAGAACAGATTTTAATTAATAAATCGAATTTCTATTAAATATTCCTCCGAGCGATTAGCCGCAGTTTGACATTTTATGTTTATCATAGCTATGCATTATGTTGCAATGCAACCTAAATGGTATTTAATGGTTGTCGAGTCGTCAAGCTTCCTGATTCAGCGGTTTGGACTGTATTCGTTAATTGATACATCAAACATTGCACCCGAACCCCTTTTCGCTCATTTAGAGGTTAAATTTTAAAAAACCCTTTCTTAATGCTCGCTTTCGTTTGTTTAAAATTTCGATTTATCCTTTTATATATAGCTGCAGATAGATAAGATTTAAATGTTTTAATGTTGAATAGTCACTGATTGATTTTGGGTTCTTAGTTGTGTGTGATTCTTCAAGATGAAAATTAGAAAGTTCGATAGTGAAACAGAATTTTTTGTTAACTCGAATGTTTAGGAGGTTCAAGTTAGAGAAGTTTGACTGTACATACCACAAATCATATTTGAAGAGCTGATCATCATCGAACGGTGTATTTTTGAAAGAAAACTATTTTTCTTACAGGACTTCGCTTATTAATATCATACTCAGGTTTTTGTTGTTCTGAACTCGTTAGAAAGTTCTTCAACAGTAGATATTATATTTCAAGGACACTGCGTTCCGCTAATGCAATCATAAAATAAAAATTAAACCTGGAAAGATTGAAATAAACATGTACATATAGTTTTTCTTTCAGGACTTCGCTTATTAATATCATATTCCCGCTCTTGTTGTTCTGAACTTGCTAGATAGAAAGTCCTAGATAGTAGATACTATATTCCAAGGACAATGTATCCCGCTGATGCAATCAGAAATAAAAATTAATTCTCGAAGGACTGATGCAAATATATCAATATACAATATTCGTAAATTAAGTTGAAAACTTGACATTAACAAAAAAAATAACTAAATATCCGGCAGTGGAAGTTCGGCTATAAAAAGAAAAGTTATAAATAAAATTTCTTTTATGCTTTTAATAAAACAATAAGAAGGCCCTTTTGACGGTTTTGGAAAGCTCCTTCATGATTAATAAAGTGCATTGTCGCCACTGTTAAAGAGACACTTCCAACAAGCTGCATACAGAGTATGAGAGGCATTGAGGCATGCAACATGTTAAGAGGACTTGTAAAGGTACTAAGATCGATGCAATGCATTCCTGCTTGCCAGAAAGCCAAATTCATTTGACAAAAGGATAATTAATTCAATAATGTTATTTATACCAACAATATCATGGTATTAATCTCTTTATTTGTCTTCTAATTTATGACCTATTTCTGTATGTACAATCGTGTACTTTTTTTCAATGGTCAACAATTTGAGAACTACTTTTTACTTTAAAATAGTCTCATGATATCATTAATACTTTTGAATGAATCTCCTGCAGCTACAAAACGAAAAACCCAAAAGAAAAAAAAAAAACCTTCAGATCGGTGCTGCAATTTCAAACAGTTAATGAGAAACCATTTATTCTAATTAGAAAATCAAAAGGATAGTTACAAGTTCTTATTAATTTTATTTAACCTGAATTGCAACAGGTAGAATATTATGGCGTAAGAAGCCGCTTCAATTTCTTTTTTCTATAATAGTCTTATTATTTTTATCAATATGAAAATAATGACAATTCTATAATACATATGCCGAATTCGGACCCTTTACGGGCAAAATAAGTAGGCACCGAATACAACGATTACCTCAGCATCGGCTCATGTAAAACTGATTAAATCGTTTTACCGTTTCACAATGCCGGTCTTCTTGAGTATTCGACATCTACAACATCTTCTTGTAGATGTAGTCTCATTCTTCGTTTTTAGGGTTCAGTATGTCCGAATGGAAAACGAAAGCCTTATAGAACCACTCGTGTGGACCGATTAAGTTGACATTTAGTACTGTGGGGGTCATTTGGGGGGGGGGGCTCTAGGAAATTAAAAAAAAGTTTTGCAAACTGTACCGTGTGACATATCAAATGAAAGGGCTTGCTGTAAGGGTTTCAAATTTCAGTTCTACTCCAGGAAAAGGGAACGAAGAAAATGGACAAGGGAAAAACAACAGTAATGCTGATTTGCTTAATTGTAATGGGGATCCCCCGTAAGTTTGATGTTTNAAAAGTTTTGCAAACTGTACCGTGTGACATATCAAATGAAAGGGCTTGCTGTAAGGGTTTCAAATATATTCTTTTATAATTTTAAAATAAATAGTTTTAAAGTTATTTAAGAAAGTAGATGAAAATTGATCTAATTTTTTACATGTCTAAATATTGATTAGTACAGTACGATTGCATTCTATCATTGATTGCAATATTTAATGGAGCGACTATTTCATTTAATTTCCTTCTTAATCTAGATGTACGTACATGAGTAGTAAATATAATTTCGTGTAGAATTCAGTTCAACAGGCTCTCGAGCATGTCTCTAGTGATAAGGAATACTCCCAGAAATTAACAATTCGTCTATTAGCTCACAGTTTATGAGATTAGAATTGGCTCTTTAAGAAAATAAATATCGTTATGTGTATGTAATGACTTTTTGGATTCAAGATTTAATAGCCCCTGGCAATGTTTGAATAATCATGATCGTATATTCTCATTGGATTTTCACTTTTAAGTGCAATAAATCTGAAACATTTGTGATGTACTAATTTCAATTTTTTTAATTTGGATGGTGTAAAATGGCGACAAAATAGGAGAACAATACAATAGGACTAATACTTTTAATTTCTTTTGTTGAGCGTATGATAAAACCTAACATACTAATGTTTGAAGTCAAAATTCTTTTCAAAGATCACACAAAGCTCTTTTATATTGTTCACAGACTCAACTTCATGAATCTCAACTTTATATTCATTTGCTTTACAAAAAGAAAGTACTTTGCAGTTTACTTTGAGATTATTTAAGCAGATCCAATTATAAATACTAACCAAATCCTTTTGCAACCGAACATGATAATACAGATTTGCAATGCGACAATATATCATCTGCATGAAAATTATAAACAACAGGGGACCCAAATGAGACCCTTGCGGAACCTGCGAACGCATCAGATACATTTATTTTTATTTTAACAATACGTTCACGATTTGCATATAAGAATATAAGGAGATCCACTTAACAGTATCAAATTTTAGGCCAAAATTAATAACTTAGCAAAGCCCAGAATCATTTAGTGTGTCTGATATACGTATACTAACTGTCAGGGTTGGATTGGGCAAAACTTTTTGATCGGGAATTTAAAACAAAATCGGTGCCATTGATATCGGATGTAACTGTTAACCACCCCTTTCAAAAATTATTGTATATTTACTAT